GTTTATTATGTGATTTTTCTTTTGTTTTACAAAAGCTCAACAATGCTTATATTTTTTTGTCACTTACTTTCCCTTACATAGTAATCATTGCCAAATAAATAAATAAATAAATGGCAAATAAGTATCTTTGGTTCAGCATAACATAGCACCACTGAAGGAACGATGGGCTGGGAGGTCAGTTCCTTGATCATTAATGACGATGGTCACAGAATTGATCATCATCAGTTGATGTGAGATCAGGAACTGACCTCCCAGCCCATCGTTCCTTCAGTGGTGCTAGTTTCAGTCGTTGTGCAAATGCACTGTTTATAAAATTGAGGAAACCTGCAGTCAGCTGAGACTGAAGAAGTCACTTGGATGAGTGACGAAACGTTTCTCCCACTGAAAACGCTACGTCCAGATGAACAGAGTCAACCCTTTGGGCTATATATGAGTCTGTTTTGCAATATGTTCACAACCTTAAAAATAAGTTATTATCAGAAGTTCAAGTAACAATAATATTAATTTTAGCATTTATACAGACTCATTGAGCACCGCATTTTCATTTTGTGGCACTAATCAGCCCAGCGACGCTGTGAAACAGAAGACTGCAGTATTAGAGTGCTCCCTTTGCAGACATGTTTTGGCCCGTGTGAGAGAAAGGTAAAATATTAAGAATGCCTCCATTCTACACTGATGAGCCAAGTAGCAGCTATTGCGAAGACTGTCCTGAAGGAACTGGTAAATGTGCTCAGGGAGTTATCAGCGAGCACACAGGAAAGTTAATTGGCTTTGATTAGGCAGAAGCCAGTGTAACATATTTCATTAAGCAAGAGAGGGTGAAAGAGAGATAGACAGTAATGAAGAAGAGTGTTGCTTCCTCTTTCTTGCCAATCATGCGTCTCCGTATTTCCATTCTGCTTTTGCGCCCTCAATGCAAATGTAACAATTTCAGTGGCTGCAGTTTGCATGTCTGTTATTAGCACACCAACCATATTAGAGCTTAATGCTTTTTATTTGCATAGGAGGAGTTTGTGAGACAGATGGTGGAGGCACATGTCATTAGATGTGTGTGTGTGTGTGTGTGTGTGTGCGTGTGTGTGTGTGTGAAAGGGAGAGACAGAGAGAGAGAGACCATATGACTCACTGGCATACTGTCTTTTTGCTGACCAAGCTAAGTGATACAAGAACATTTGAGTGAATGGGTGGTTTCAAGAGCACCAAATCAATTTGGTAAGACATGATTCTATTTTTATCCATGAACTATAAATATGCTCATATGCATTAGGAGCACCGAAGCAATTCCAATAATGTACCTCTTTAACTTCATGTCCGCTCTTGTGTATCCATGTTCAGATTTTGCAGCACAACCTGAACATTACGTCGCCTTCTGTTAAGCAGGCAGATAAGTGGAGCTCGGATTATCCCAGCCAGCTGTGCACAATACACATGTTTACATCCCAGGTGGATTACTAAAAGTCAATAAGAGTTAGGTTTGGGATTACTTCAAATAAATGTGGTTCTGGGTGTTTTTTTATGTTGCGTTGTTAATCCTACTTTTTATATTGGAAGTCACTGATGTGATCCTTAAGGAATGTCCTTAAAGCAACGGAAATGTTAATCAATGCTGGCATTATCTCCTGATTCTTAAATAAAACACTCAGTGCTCAAAACACAAGCACTAGGCTACCTTTTTTTTTTTCTTGCCTTTTGGCAATTTGGTTGGGGGCCCCTTTTTTTTTTTTTTGGTTGTTGTTTTTTATTTTTTTTTCCTTTTTTTTTTAACAGTAAAAGCTTTCTACTTTAACTGAGAGCAGAGGGGGAAAGAATCAATGGAGTATTAAAGCAGCAAAAGACTTCTGAAACTGAAACATTTAAAAGTCAAGTAGATTTAAATTAAAAACACAATGACCACAGCCTCACTAAAAAAGGGCACTGCAATGAGTGAAAAAAAGAATAATTAAAAACAAATTAAAACACAAAAAAAGAAGAAGACAGAAAGGGATATCAATAAATTTGGTGATTTCAAGGACACAGACACTCTTGATATATATTTGCAGACTTTAGTTAATCTAATTTACCGGTGCCTTTGAGGAACTGCGGTGGTATATTTTCAGGGGATTAAAGGCTTGAGTGTGTTTGACTGCACATGCCTCCACAACTGTGTCAGTGAAGTCCGGGTTTATGTGTGCGATGTGATTTGTGTCCTCAAGATTCAGCACACATGGGTACCTCCAATCCCCAGGATACAAACACAGTAGCTAACCTGTTTAAAAGAGTGTTGTGTCTAAGAAGGGAGGCGAGGTGAAGATAAGAGAGAATGCCGTTAACATGGACTTTACAGGATATGATCCAGTGAAGCTGCCAATGGCTGAGGGCACAGAGAGGCTTTAGGTAATCTTTTACATTTAACAGTATTTTTATGCAAGATTGAGACTGTAACTTTGGGATAGGAAAATAAAAAAAACTTCTAAATTTGTTAGAGGAACTTGGTTGAAATGGCACTGAAGGAATGAAAAGCAAATGATATTAACTGTATCACACATAAATTGAATATTTTTCAGAGGTTGTTGCTGAGCTCCTGCAGCCTGGAGACTGCTATTCAATTTACAAAAATCATTTGAAAGGATGCGCTCGATAGTTTTAGTGTCGTTGTAATCCTGTAAGTATTATTTCATACTGACTTTTACCTGCTAACTTGAAAAAAAAAAGTAACTATCTGCCTATCAGGGTTTATCATTTAAAAGGATGACATCATTTTAAGGTGTATGAACTTGCCTTGTATCATGGGTTTTATAACATGGGTTTTAGTGCTATCCAGATGTTCTCCAGATAAAGAGGGGAAGAGATTTGTTGGCTATTTGGGATGCAGCTGTTACAGGAAGTAATGAATCAGTGAACGTATTTTAAAAATCCACTTTGGGAATGTTTAAACCTGCCTATAGTAGGTGAGAGACCTGGAAAAACCTAGCGTGTGTTATCTGTTATGACTCTTTGTATGTTTTTTGTATTTGGATTATTTATTTTGTAGGGACAGGTCATTTTGTGGGATCTAAATCCCTCTTTTGGGAATACAAATCAAGTCCCATTCAAATAAACACAATCGAGATTTAAAACATGGTTTAAGTTCCTTGTTAGGATTTGGGAGGAGTGATTACCGAACAAGCATTTTGCATTTCAGTGTCCCATCAAGATATCTGTAAACAGGACCCGACAGGACTCTGTGGCTCATTGTATGGCTTTTATTTTGTTACTTTTTACACGCACACTTTGATAGCACTTTTCAGTGTCCACTGCCTTGGCTCCGATACTCCATAAGCAGCTGCTCTCCTCTCCGGCCTTAGCCACAACTGAAATAGCAAAGGTGTGATTAGAAGATGCACCGGCTGTGCCAAGCCAGCCTCCCCTACCACCACGCCCTGAACCCACTGTGCCACTCCTCTTCTGCAGTGGCACCGCTAACCACACCCCGCCACAATATCATCATCAAAATCGTGGATTAAAAAAAAAAGAGGTTCCAATATAAAAGTTGTGTTACACCTCTGACTCCACAGATATTTGGCCCATACAGCCGTCAGGACAACCGGCAGCTGTAATCAAATTACAATAACATCTTCAGAGCTTATGATTTCACTTTCTCTTTTCTAAGCTCTTCCCTTTTTCTCTCTGTCTCTCTAAAAGCCAAGGTTAACACAGTCAGCTCCTCTCGACTTAAAAAGGGTCATTTATCTTGCTAGTGGTATCAGGAGAGAGTCCACTACCTTATGGGAGGATCCAGCTCACAGGATTTTTCATGAGGCAGCATGAAGTGAATTTTTACAGCAAAGTTTAAATATTAAACTAATAAGAAGGTGCATCCAACTCTAGTCCTTTTTCCTAGCATAACTTTCTATAATTTTTATGCAGTTGCACCATTCTGACTTTTTCTCAGAATTCAGAAAAAGAAGAAAAGAAAAAGACGTGCCCACTTTTTTTTCCCCCAGTGGCCCTAATCCTCTTTTGTATTATCATCACCATCACTCTGTAGATACACAATTGTCTTCTATTGATTAAAACTTAAGGTTAAATCCATGTAACTTTTTGTTTCATTGCAATAATTTTTACGGTTATGCCAAAAGTGGGCCAAAAGAAACCAGGGAAGACAAGCTAAACAAAAGCTAACCTTTGATTAGGTCAGAGTCCACAGTCCACAAAACAAAATGAGCAAAATTCACAAACTCTAGGAACAACAGGAAGCACACAAATGAGGCCAATCAGGCACACTGACAAAGGTAGAACAGGAGCTATACGCTGAGGGCAAATTGGGAAAATGTGAACAAGAGGGGAACAGAAAACAGAAGAACATAACCAAGGCAATAGACAGACACAAAGTAAATCTCAAAACAAAATACAAGAGATGCTGACGAATAGTGTCTCTTATATTTTGTGATCAATGATATGATCAATATTTTACGATTTTTAAGAGACCACTACTGGATGTAAAAACAAGGTCCCCTCTGTTGTTGCTGATGCTCTTGGACCACAACAATTTTTGGCCAACACAGTGTTTATAGACAGGAAACAGAGCAGTGCCACTCTGCAAATTTTCAGCTGGGGATAAATTGAACTGTCAGGACACTTTTCACACCATAACAGTTTGGACACAGTCACCGACACTGTAATGTCCTTCATTGTGGCCATGGCATATTGTCGCTTAATAGCATCTAACATTTTACAAACAAACCAGCGCAGTTTAAAGGTAATAAAAACTGTGCAAAGCATTACAATATAATAATAATATTTTAACAGTAACAACTCCCAATTGTACTGCTGTTGGCTGCACAATCAGACGTTCCACCTTTAAGAGACAAATCCTAGCAGATAAGACCCTGCTCACTCATTGACTTTTACAACTTAATAAACACAGCGAGAATTAGACAGCTTTATGAAGCTAAAAAGTGAAGAGTACACCACTGAATGAAAACAGACTAACACTTTAGCACGCTAATATTCCCTCTGTTCTTCTTCTTTTTTGTTACCAGATGAAGACCACACACTTCGGATCCTGCTCTATTCGCTGATCTTCTTCCTGAGTGTATTCGGAAACCTGCTGATCATTGTTGTTCTAACGGTCAACAAGCGCATGCGCACCGTGACCAACACCTTCTTGCTGTCTCTTGCCGTCAGTGACCTGATGATGGCCATCTTCTGCATGCCCTTCAACCTCATCCCCAGCATCCTTAAGGACTTTATCTTTGGAGCTGCCATGTGCAAGATAGTCACCTACCTCATGGGTGAGAGAAAAGGGGTGTAGTGAAGGACGGGGTCCCAAAACACTCATTTGCTTCTCTTTTCACAGTTTTTTCTATACTGTAAAAGATGTGAAATAAATCCAGATTAAGCCTCAGATTTCAGATATTTGGAAGCTACCTTTTTACATTTTAGAAACATTTTAGTTTCTTAAATTTTCTTAGCTAAGCTTATTGGAGAGATACAATTTATTTCATTTTAATCTATCTGTACCATATATTTTAGGTTTCCCTATGGTAAAGACATATATAGACATACATTGTAAATATAGCTGTGTTTTACAGAACGATAATGTATGTGCAAATGTCCTTGGTACAATGTTGGTGATAATCTTTTTAGCTGATACAGAAGAACTGCTATGAAACGCTGTATAAATCTGATTCAGTTGAATTTTAAGCAGCACAGTCGCACATCGGTGGTTTGCAATAAGATGAGAGGTCAGACGCCTTCTGATGGAGGTTAAAAGTATCTCTACCAATGGGAATTTCTTCAGGGAGCCTGTATGGGCTTTTCTGTGAACAGTGTTAAAGTTCAAGAGATTTCGGAGAAAGATTTTTCAGTTCACTACGGAATTACTTTTCTAGCTTTCGGTAAATTAGTTGGGCTCTGAGGGGAGTTGTTAATGGTGATCGAGTTATCTATAAAGGATATTTGGTCAGTCATCATTTACAGTTAAGGGCCCACAGATTTCGAATACTTTGCAACCAGAAATAGAAAAAACAAAAACAAACAAATTAACTGTATTTAAAAAGTTTAACGCAAAGGCAAAAAATAATGGCTTAAACAAAAGAAAATCTATAATCATGTATCATGTAATCATTGATTATGTATCATTTTTCAAAAGCAAAAATCTTTTTGTCTGATGCAAGCTGATTTGGCATCATTTTAAATCTAAGCAATTACATTTCGAGTTTGACTGCAAAGCTAAGTCAATTTTACCTGCAAAACAATTAACTTGGATTATTAGAAAATGAAACAATCATCAGTGGCAGCTGGTGGTTTCATACTAAATGAAGACACCATTCAGATGCACTGACTATAGTGTTCCTGTTGCTTTCTAATCCTGTACTTCACTTAACCTTAATAAAATCTGTGAAAACAATGGGGAGCAATAGCAGACAGAGGGTTAGGATCTCTCACCTTTTGACCTTCAGCTTATACAAGTGGCACGTGTTCTCACTTGCTTGTAACAAGGATGACGTGCCCCTAACCCGCTCAGTCTGAAGCCTTTTTTTGATATTCCCACCTTTACACCATTCCTCACTTCATAAACAGCTCAACAACTGTGAGGCTAGAGCTTTCTACAGACAAGAGACACTTGAGAGCTTCATTAAAAATACAAAAAACAAGTCTTCATAAACCCAGACTGAAAAAAAAAAAAACTAGAGCACAAACGCGCAATTTTACATCTTTAAAGATAAAATATGATGATGAAATATCAACATTAGACTGGGGCTACTGAACCTGAATTCTCAACTGTGTCTCCACCAAATTGGTTGCTACATAGAGTAAATGAACCACAATTTAATGAGTGAATGTGCCGCCCTTGGCAACCATTGAAAAATTGCGTTTGCACAAATAGCAGAAACATATTTGTCCATGGAGTGGAAAGACTTAAGCATAATGTTTAAGTATATATTTTCTACAGAATGGCCTCTTAAAATAATTTGAAGGGGGAATGAGATGGAGGTAAGCTTTAGTCTTTAATTCAGTGTGTAATATGGTTGCTTATTTCATTTAAGTAGTTAATTAATGTACTGTAACGCAGATACCTGGAAAAAGAGAGGACATAACATTTTTATGTTAACAACATAAGAAATTCCAATGCAATTATCGATATTAAAATATGTAAAAAAATAATAAAGCAAACAAGAACAGGAGGGCTTTTGTGCCCAGAATTATTTGAGAACTGAAGAGAAAAGAAGCCTCATGTAAAGCACGGGGCTTATGAATGAAGGCAGCCATCATTAAGGTGCACTGAAGAAAAGGGGAGACTATTGGTGGATTGTCTCCTGCTTCCTTGGGGGATGCTCTAAAGCTTCCTTCGTATATAACCATAGTGCACCTAAGGGTCTCTTGCTCCCTCTCTCTGACACACACACACACACACACTCACACACACACTCAGTCTGTATTGTGTATTCTTGCTGAAGACCTGGGTAAGAGAGGTGAAGAGTAATTTCCCGTCTTGCCCTGTCACTACAGGGATGGCAGATCAAATCTGTGGCTCAGGCCAGCATGATTTCCTCCACCACATGATTCAGATAACTGTCTCCACCTCACACTATATTCATTTGCAAACACGTCTCCACCGACTGCAGCTTTTTGTTATGATTGCAGATAATAGCCTACTTGCTTTGTGTTATTTTTTATTATGGGTCCAAACTCTTTTTTGGCACTGAGCAGTAATAAAGGTTTATACAGTACAATAAAAGATGTCATTAGATACAAGATAGCAAGAACACAGTATTTTACCTGCTTACTTTTTTGTTTGTTTTCCAACAGGCATATCCGTGAGCATCTCCACTTTTAGCCTGGTTGCCATAGCAATTGAGCGCTATAGCGCCATCTGTAACCCCCTGAAGTCACGGGTATGGCAGACCCGTTCGCACGCCTATCGGGTGATTGCTGCCACGTGGGTGCTGGCCTTGATCATTATGATCCCCTATCCGATCATCAGTCACCTGGAGTCGTTTCCGCGCCGTGACAACACTACAGCACACCGGTGTCGCCACAAGTGGCCTGTCGCAACTGCGGAGCAGACCTGGTGCGTGTCTTGGTTCACTTTGGTAACATAAATCATGAGTGCTATGTTCAAAATAATACTCTTCACCCATCACCAGGGTCAAGGGTGTAATTTCCAGGGGCATTAGGGGCCTATGACCCCCCCCCCCAATAATCAGACCCAACCAATATAACCCCCTCAACAAAATTATGTAATGCATAAATAGGCTGGTATCACCAGCAAAATAGTTGCATGTTTACTCATCTGGGAATTATTTATTTATTTATTTATTTAGACAGAGATCATGACCCCTCCCCTCCCAATGTTCAACACAAAGTTACGCCGATGACCAGGGTTATTATAGTTTGCGTTGCAACTTGCCTGGTTAGGCATTGATTGATGTGTTACAACACCGTGAGTCTGTATTTATTAAAATACCTGTACTAATTTTTGCAAATCTTAACACAGAGGTATGTACACTATGCAATGCAAAATATCTAAAATATAATTAAAAAGACTAAAACTAGCACTGGCACTATTAAAAACTAAGCTACAACTAAACATTTTTAAACTAAATGAAGTTACAATGAATTTAAAAAAAAAGATTATTAGATAATTACATTACACAAAATAAACAGTTCTCGGAATAATTTTTTTTCTTATTCTAAAATTATGAGAAAAAAAATTGGCAGAAATTTCCTTTAATGGCCCGTAATCTGTAACATGCAATGCCAGTGCAAAGTGAATGAGATCTGAGATAAAGTGCTCTGAACTTCCAGGTAAGCAAATGAGAGAATAAGATCTGATTGACATATGACCTGATCGTAAATACATTAGAGGGGTTACCTAGGCAACAGGAACCTGGAATGTCTGCAAGCAACCACCTTTAAGCTTCAAAGTGAAACATGACGAATGAATCGCTCCCACTGTGGATGCAGCTTACCCTTTACTCTCAACCCTTATCAACTTGGTAAACTCAGTAAAGAAAGTTTTTCACACAAACCTTCAGTTCTGTGAAAAACTTAGCACACACCTTGAAAAACGAGTTTTAATATCAAAAACTTCATTTCTGCAATTTGTTATATTACTTTCGGATAACTCTGTAATGTGACGTAAAAAGCCCCCCCCCCCCCCCCAGACAGGCTGTTATAGATTTGCTGGTGAGCTTGGGATAACGGTCATGTTGCATGACCCAATTTCAACCAAGCTTTAGCTGTCAGACAGATGGCCTCACATTTGATTCTAGAATACTTTAGTATACAGAGCAGTTCATGGTCAATTCAATGACCGCAAGATACCCAGTTCCCATGGCTGTGCAGCATGACACTGAGATGTTTGTGCTGATATGTTGCATTTGGTTTTTGCCAAATGTAGCAAAAATCTTCATGTTAGTCTTGTCTGTCCAAAGGGCATTGCTCCAGAAGTCCATGCCACCATATTCTTGATTGTTCTACAGCACGGGTCCCCAACTCCAGGCCTCAAGGGCCGGTGTCCTGCAGTATTTAGATGTGTCCTTGATCCAACACAGCTGATTCAAATGGCTAAATTACCTCCTCAACATGTCTTGCAGTTCTCCAGAGGTCTGGTAATGAATTAATCATTTGATTCAGGTGTATAGACCCAGGGTGAGATCCAAAACCTGCAGGACACCGGCCCTCGAGGCCCCTGTTCTACAGTCTAACCTTAGGGGTGGTGGTTTGCTGGGAAGTCCATTGTGGCATTGTGTTAGCACACGTCTGAATGCTCCAGAACAGCAAACTGGCAAATGTTCTGTTTTGTCAGTTTGCAACATTTTTTTTCTGCTGGCGACTTATTTATTTTTCCTCATAACAATAAAGCCTTTGTATCCATGTGTATATATGTGTGTATATGAGCTATGTATCAAGTATCCATAGTATCCACACTTTCTCTTGCCAAGTTTGATTCCAGCTGGAGATACAAATCCCCTTTGGGATTGTGACAGGAGGGACATAAAACTCTGCCAAATCAATTATGTGAAGCAACACCTTGTAATAAGTGAATTACATACCACACCAAGTACACCTGCAGCACCAAGACCCATCATTGCAGTATTTTATGAAAAGTTCTGATTTACTGATTATTACAAGATTTTATTTGCTATGGCTAGGGTAATTGTAGAAGTTGATGTCTTCTTTTACTACTGTGACATTTGTTTTAAGTTGTATTTATTACAAATTCTAATTCTTACCTAATGAGCTAGTGTGGGAGAAAAATAAGAAGAGACTACAAAGAGATCAAAATCAGTGTCTCTTGTGTAGACCATTTTATTTGTTATACTTTTCATTTCTTTAACATTGTGGTGAGGTAATATATTTATTGTATGCATATTTGATAAAAATATAAGAAAAAAAACAACAAAACATATCTGAAAAGTCATTAATGCTCTGAAACTTAGAGAAGGATGTCTCCTGGATTAACGAACATAGACACCATGAGTGGATATGGTACGCAGTCACACAGTGGAAGTTGTTTTAACTCAGGATGGTCCAATATGCCATGAAATTTCAGTCATGCTACATAGCCTTAATTTAGTCAGGCATTAAATTAACTCCATGCAACAATATTTTTGGTAACTATAAGACTGAAGATTAAAAGTTCCTATTTCTTCATAGGAAATATGTTTGAACAGTTTACTCGTATTATAAACACACATTTCCAGCTATATTTTTACTTCATCATCAAGCCCGCTGTCGGGCCATCCTTCCTTCTTTACTTTCACAACACTTGCAATCACAAAGTGATTTTTAATGTAATAAACTTTAGATGAACTGTGTGTGTTTATGAGTGGTGTGTGTGTCTCTGTGTCCTTTCAGTAAGCCACTCTGTGTTGAAATATCTCATTCACTTCCATGTTTGGACCTGGAGCCTGTTTTAACTATGTCTGTTCAATGTTTATGTGGAACCATTAGGACAGGTGAAGACAACAGAGCGTGCTTCAGTGTGTTTTTGTTATGAATTATGATAAAACAGGCTTTGGATGTAATTTCAGGCGACCATGTGATTATCTTTGTGTGCTCATTATTTTTGTTTTTGTATTTGTGTCTGATTTGTCGTGTTTGTATTTCATTTTCTCTTCTGGGTATAAATTCTGCTCCCACTGTCTCTGATGTATTATCATAACATTTGACCCACAGAGTGAAGCAGCTGCAGCAGCAGAGCTGGTATTGTTTTCACCTTGTGAATCTTTCACTGAGCGCTAGATCCCATTTCATTTGATTTTCAATTTATGTAGCGAATGGCCTCAAAACATCCAGTCCACATAAAAAGATTATACATTTTAAAGCATATCTATGCCTTTTCTGTGTGTCTCAATGAAAACTATAATCCTGTCTCACTGTGTGTGTCTACAATGGTGAACGTATTTGTATAAACCTCTGGAATATTAATGTGCAGTCGTCCCTCGGCGGTATGTGTTTCTTCATGAAATGGCTGATTAGATGAGTACCTTGGGAATTGTTAAAAATGGAAAGGTCATTGGTCTAATCTCCACTTGAGACATTATCTCATCAGTCTCCCTGCAAGACTTTTATTATTATTATTATTATTTTATTTAGACACACAATACTGTGTGTCTCAAGCCTGATTTCTTTATATTTTGCTGGGGAAATGAGAAATAGCTGCAGTGATTGATTGAAACATGACCAAACATACATGGGAATACAGCACATAAGGAAAAAACAGAGTTTGGACAATTCTAATGAGCTTAGAAACAAACATTTTACTTTCTTTTCATTTCTATAAGTAGTCTTCAGGCTCCAGGCTTTGTGAGGGACATTCCAAAACTGCACAAGTTTTCAACTAATATCTTTGGCATTCACCTTGTTGGTGCCAAACTTCTAATTTATGCCTGTCAAACTGTGCTAACGTTGGCATTTTTCATACATTCAACCAAATAAATGGGAACAAATTATATGCTTTTGCAACACGGCTGCTTGTAACAAAGGCCTAAAGATATCATTTAAAATGGGGGTTTTTTTTGCTCATGGTCTGTTATGTGTAGCCACAACATTCGTTCATTCTTTGAGTTACATTCCTTTTCATAGGTAGGTATTTGCTGGCTTAACAAAAATAAAGAACAGAAGAAAGAAAGAGATTCATTAAGTACCAAAGACAAACTCTGAAAGACCTTCAGAAAGCCTGGAGAACTAATCCTCAAGAGACCACTTAAAAAAATCCTTGGAAAGAAGGATTCAATTTCCATCAGTGTTCAGATTTTGCCAACAGGAAAACATCCCTGTTTTGTTAAATTCACTCACTATAACATTTGCAGGTGTGTAATTGAGAGCCGCCTTCAACCTGAGTGTGGCGCGACTCATTAGCAGACACCGCTCATGTAATAATGCTGTATATGTACAACTGCTATGAATTTTGTTCCAGAACTGCTGTCTTTACTTGTTTCCATTTTTATCCAAGTTGTGTTTTTATTTCTGGTCCAGGCAACAAGCTTGTTGGATGTTAAAATGCTCAAATGCAATGCTTTGCTGTGACCCAACAAACCAACAGGCAAACATACAAAGCACGTGATGAATGCGTTACTCATAAGATATATACAGACTGCAACTCAGTACACGGAGTTCACGTGTTATTGTTTTTTTTTGTCCACTGTGGTTGGATTTTTAAACTTCTCGTCTCTCTTTTAGGTACATTCTGCTGTTGCTTGTACTGTTCGCCATTCCAGGCGTGATGATGATCGTGGCCTACGGTTTGATCTCGAGAGAACTTTATCGAGGCATCCAGTTTGAAATGGGCCATAAAAAAGATTCTTCAGGTGAGGCCATTTACACTACAGTACTTATAGATAACATAAAAGAAAACATAAAGAAAATAGTAAGTTTGAATTAATGTTCCAGAAAGCCATGTGGTTCCAAGAAAACAACAATAAAAAACAGAAAACTACAACATTTAAATCGGAATCAGAAACAGAGAAGGTTTATTAATCTCAGTTATCATAACAGCATGCACACGACATACGGCATAGCTATCATATAAAATGAGGCAAATGTATATAAATGTAAATACATAAATATAAAAAGGACACGCATATTAACACTTATGTTTTGGAGAAAAAGAGCAGTAATTCAATACATGGACAGGTGAATCAATGTGCCATAACAACAATTTTACTTGTATTCATACTTTTTACACTTTTAAACTGAATCGCAAAAATATTCATCGAAATGATTTGTTAAAGGAAGTAAAAAACGTCTTCATATTAAATGTTTATATAGAACTTTTGTTGGTCCTGTATTTCAGTTCATCTGTGTGTGTAGCTCCAGTATACAGAGAGTATACTTAGTATTTTCACTAAACAGTTAAAAGCACAAAATAGTCGAATAGACGATGGACTCCGAAAACAAACACAAAGTAGATGTTTTTTTAATACATTGACATTTTATGAGTAATTCAATTGAGTTTTTTATATGATATAAATGAGTCAGATTAGTCAGTGCTCTCTAATTGACTTTACTCTTGTTTTGATTTCACTGTTGAATGAAACTCTGTTACTGAATGCCACAATTCTTATCAGCTCATACCAAACAAGTTCGAACCTTACATTTTTTTTCTACAGGGTTTGAGTGAATTATGAGTATTTTTACAAGAATTTCATTAGTGCTACAATTGCTGTAGTGTGCGCAGGCTAAGTGAAACATAACCTTTTATCGGAATACGGACTCGTGTCTGGGGTGATAGCAGCACTGACTGTCCTTGCTGATGCTCCATTAGAGGATGGATTGGCTGGCAGCTGCAGGCATGGACATTACCATCTGTTTGCTCTCAGAGAGAAAGAGATTGTACAAATATAAAAAGAGTTTTTGGAGGAAAACAATATGGATTAAAAACAAACAGGGAAGGAGAAGAGATTGAAAAATGGCATCTTACCTCACAGACTGCAAAACTGCCTCTATGAAATGTGTTTAATAATCCAGCAGGTGCTTTACAATACCAGATCTTGTTTGTATGGGGTACCTTGAGGCTTTTAATTCTGAATCCTCTTTTATTATTTCTTTATAGAGGAAAAGCAAGGTTTTCAAATTGCTTTATTGAATTGTAATAACCCCATAGGCTAGTAACAATTACTTGCTAATATTCCATCTATGAAGGCAAGAAGTTGCTCTTTAAATGACTCCAAAATAACCTTACACAGGAGTCAGTCAGCTGGCTGCAGGATAAAAGATGATTTCCCAGAATAAACTATTCTTAATGCGATGGCAGAATCACTCTGATATCAAGACCATTTATGTTTAACAACGCTGACTTGTAGAAAATGTATTCCTTCACAATTAAATTAATTTTAAAATTTTAGTTTTAATGCAGTCGGTGATTGGAATCATTTGGACACACAAAGCCATGGGTTTGTATTCAGAAAAAAACTGTTTGGTTGAGGTTATTAAATGATTTTTGATGATCCAGTATTTTTATTGTTTTAATTATGTTCTGTATTTTTGTTTTGTTCCAGTGATTTGGCATCAGTTCACTTAAACCTTCAAGTAGTGTCTGTCCTTTATGTCTTTGTGTTTTGAATTTTAATTTGCCTCTGATATAATCCAGACCCATCCCCAAAGGGCACAAAAGGCATAAAGTATCACAAAGCAGGAGCACCGCTCAAACATTAGAGGATGAGGTCTTAAAGAACTTGGCTGAGAATTTATTTTTATTGCATTTAATTAACACCAAAATACTCTCTCTTTCACCCTGTTTGTCATTTCAGATGTAAATGGCCTGACCTCTACTGTGTCTGCTGGCAGCGATGATGGAGACGGTTGCTATGTGACTGCAGTCCAGCGGCCGCACACGATGGAGATGTCTGCAATGGCTGCATCAGGCAGGGCGATCAAGGCAGAGAGGCCACGCAGCAACACATCAGAAGCCAAGCTAGAGGCCAAAAAACGAGTCATTCGCATGTTGGTGGTGATTGTTGTCCTGTTCTTTGTCTGTTGGATGCCACTGTACTGTGTCAACACCTGGCGGGCTTTTGATGAAAGCTCTGCCACACAGACGCTCTCAGGGGCCCCCATCGCTTTTATCCATTTGTTGTGCTACACCTCCGCCTGCGTCAACCCGATTATTTACTGCTTCATGAACACACGCTTCCGCAAAGCTCTGCTCGCCACGTTCTCATGTTGCATCGCGCCTTGCCATCGGCGTCGTCATCGTGGGCTTCGGGACAATGAGGAGGACGCTATGGCAACAGGTGCGTCCATGTCCAAGTTTAGTTACACTACTGTCAGCACTATGGGAACCTGTTGAGGGAAATGGATTCACAACAATTCAAAAAAGACAGCTACAGAGGCAACACGAGACCCAACATCCCCCCAGCTTTTTGTTTTTAACACGTGCTCATAGGGACATTCATGTGAAGTGAAAAAATATGCCATGTGATGTAGCAGCATAGAAGCTTCATTTATGACTGTGAATAAAATTATATATCGATTATCTTAAGAAACCCAGTCTTAAGTGTGAATACCTCCATGGTTGGCTACATGATATGTGAGACAGTCTTTATAACTAAATAGTAATTATGTAGCTATAACAACAAACCCATGATTTGCTATGTAACTTTAAAACTGTGTTTGATGTTTTGCAGTCAGTTGCTGGTTGTCTGTGTTAATGCTGATAATACATTTGCCTTGTGGACAAAGTGCCTGCTTCTAAACTGAATGGCCTTTATTGTCATTGTAAATATATACAAGGAAACTGAGATGTTACTCTGTGGTGTAACGTAAAAAAACCCCTAAAATACAGGATTATAACTAAGACGTACAATAAAATCTAGGATAAATAAAGGTCTAAAAACCTGTATAAAATATACAAATCTGTATGTACATTAATAAATGAAGTGCGGGTGCAGAGGAGCCAGATGGGTGGCACACTTTTATTGTTTTTTCTCATTTGATTTTTATTGCATGAGAGAAGAAACTGAGCTAAAAGCCTGCGTGAGTGAAGTCCTTGATGATGTTGGCAACTCTGCTCAGGTAGCATGAATGGGCAATGTCCTCCAGACGGGAGAGGGGGCACCCAGTGATTTTCTCTGGAGTACTTTCATATCTGCAGCCTGCATACCACGCCGACATGCAGTATGTTACCAGCCTCTCATTTGTTGCCCAGTAGGCCACCATCAGCATCCTGTCCTTACATTTTACGGTCCTCAGATATGAAGACCTCCAGAAACTTGAATGTTTGTGCCCTTTCCACATGAAGAGAGTTTTATAGTTTGCTGACTAGAATGTCTCTAATTATGATATCAAATGCAGAGCTATAGTCACATAGCTCCCTCGGTGTTCTGGGTGGTTTATTGCTGTGTGGATTGCTATGGCAATTGCCTCTTCTGAGGATCTCTTAGCTTTGTAAGCATGTGGATCAGGTGTGGGAGAGGGGCGGCTTTTAATGTGATGCTTGGCAAGCTTCTTGAAGCTTTTCATAATCACAGCCATACAGTAAGTGCAATGGATCTATAATCATTCAAGTCCACAGAGACTGGCTTTTTGGGAAAAGGAATTATAGTGCCTGACTTGACTTTTTCTAATACCCCAGTGAGCTGGTTAGCACATGCTTGGAGTACTCTCCTTAGCACATGTCTGACCTTAGCAAATATCCCACATCCTGTTCCTGCAGTGAGTCTGTTGTGGCCTCAAACTGGATGAAGAAACCATTTAGCTCCTCCACAGTGATTCACATTGATTCACATTCACAGTGATTTTATGCTGTAACCCTTGCCAAACCCTCCAGGAGCCGTTATGTATCAGGTGGTCCTCAGTCCTGCTCTTGAAGGCCCTTTTCATCATCTTTATTCCACTCTTTTAGATTGGCTCTTGCTCTGCTGTAACAGGCTTTGTCACATGTTCTGAAGAAAGTGTTGTGGTTTTTGAAGAGTGTTTGGACATTGCTTGTCATCCACAGTTTGTGATATAAAAAAAGCATTCCTCCAGCTTGGTTGAATAAATCCCAGGTTGTGTGATCAAAGCAGTCCTGTAGCTGTGATTGAGCCTCTTCGGGCTGTGATCGTCTTCATTCCTGACTTTGACTACTTCTAGCAGCAAATGTTGCAAATGTCACATGCTGATAGAAGTTGGGGAGTACTGTTTTAAGACACCAGTGGTTAAAGTTGCCCACATGCGGGTGACTGAATGGATGCGCTGCTGTTTGATAATGATGGCATTAGCACCAGGTGGGATGAAGACAACAAAGACTATCACCACTGAAAACTAAATATTATATTTACCAAATATTATTTTTCCTCTGACTATTGAAGTTAGAAGTGTAGTTTAAAAGTTCTGGAATGCTCTTAAGCTGCAAATATTCACCAGATGTTATAAATTGCTACATGGCAACTGATAAATGTGTGGGTTGTTATGTGATATTCATGTCATGACATAAAAAAAAAAATCAAACGAAAAAAAATTATGTAAGCCCAAGCACATAAAAGATGTTTCTTTTAGAGATGGTGTCAGTGGCTATTGAAGGGACTGGACTTTTTGGAACTTCTGCAATGGCTTAATTTTTTAGCCCTGGAGTTTGCTGCTTGATGTAAATATGGTTTATCAATATCATTGCAACTAATGCTTAAAATGACTATAGCACCAGATATTGCTCCTATTGCTGAACTGCATTTGTAAACCAGTCTGTTAAGTGCAATGTACAGGTACTTCCCAGAACCCTCTATCTATCTATCTATCTATCTATCTATCTATCTATCTATCTATCTATCTATCTATCTATCTATCTATCTATCTATCTATCTATCTATCTATCTATC